TGACCTTACTCTTTGTGTACGTCGGTCCAGGGAGTTATTTTAAATAAATCCTTTTTATTCTAGCAAAGAGAATCTTCCACTTGCAGTCAATCATGGTGACTTACCAGAAGTTAATAGGTCTTGGCTGTGTCAAATTATGAGACACTGTGGAATCTTCAGCACCGCTTGTCAGAAGATTTAAATGAGTGTACGTGTATATTTAAACCTGAATGTACTTTTGACTTCATGTGAACAAAAAATTCAAACATGTAGACCCAACTTTTGTTATTTCAAGACAATAAAAACGTGTGCGATACAACCATTCCACCCGCAAAAGTTTGCTCAAAAATCAGCTGAATTTGTCAAGAAATAAGAAGAGAACCTAAGGAAACCTTTGAGTTAAAGCTGTAAGTCTACACTCCAGTCACATATTGATTGTTTGAAGTGGTGGTGTACAGAGGCAAAAATACAGAAAAGTACCCTCTTTGTTTTTAGCTCTGTTTTGGTCTCCACCAACTAAATATTTGGAAATATTTGGCTCTTTAGCTGCTAAATATTTTCTGATTTAAGTCGTGTTCATTTTTCCAACAATTATTGATCACTTTTTGATGCAAAATTCCTTCGAGATGTTTGAAAGCTTTCTTTGAATCCTCCCTGCTTTTCATTCGATGATGAAATGAAGGAAGTCTTTTCTAACTTTTGTTTACACTTTGGATAATCTGAAGTTTACCCTGTGGATTTTATGTCAAGTCAGATTCAGGTAGCCTCAGAGCACTGTTCCACACACATCTCCTTAAACTGCTAGTAACACATCCTTCTCACTAAACACTTGCACAATACCAATGTGCCCTTTCACCTATCCAGTAACAAGCTTGCTTTTCCAATTTGTCGCATGCTGTGAGGAGAACCTAGCTTCGTGTGCGTGTGTGTTTGTGTGCTGTAAAGGGTCATTCTTTTTCCATGTGCTGCAGTAAACGGGTCATTGCGTCTCCTGGGTGAACTGGGCTAAAGTCTTGCTGCTCACTGACCTGATGCTGCATGTCTGCACAGAACTGCGGGTGATGCATTGACCTCAGATAGCGCCTTGACTAGAGGAGAGGAAATGAAGGTCTGCCCTGAGCTCTGATAACACTGAGCTGCATTAAAGTTCAGGTCTAGGATTTCAAATTCCTTACTTTTCAATATCTGTCCTTGGAGGGGGGGTGGTGGGTGGAAGATGGATAGGCTATATGATATTAAAGCGGCATCGGCTTTTATTATTATTCTTAAACATTATTGATTCATGCACCACATAAATGGCAGTATCGCAACACATTAGAGTTAGTGTAATATGAAAAACTGACCTAAAATAACCCAGTTAAAAGCTTCTTATTAATGCTGAATTGAACAATGTAATATGAAAGGATAAATTTATGGTAGTGCATAAAAAAAGGAAAACAGAAGCATCTGTGGTCCTTTTATTACACTACACACCTCTTCACAGCACTCAGAAGTGTTGTTGATAGTGCACAGGTCAGTAAAAAGAAAGATTCCAAAAGACACAGATATTTTTTGTGTTTTTTAAGATGCATATCAGATGGATGCGTGAGAAATTAGAAAAAACCAATGTGCTTAGAATGAAAAACAAAGTAAAAAAACTCCACGTGTGAATGTACTGAATAAAATATTCCTCTGTGAATGGCATGGTGTCTGCATGCATCCTTCTTTTGAAACCTGTTTTACATAGAAAACAGCTTTGCAAGAGTTTGCCAAATTATAAATGCTACATTACATATTGTCCCAACTATACTGTTACAAGCCATTCGTTATTTTTTTTTACCAAAACACACAATTTGATTTCCACCTTCCTACTTTCTCATGCAGATAACTGAAGACATTTTGTAAGTAAAGTAATACCATAATTGTGACTGTAATGTAATACTGAATTTAGTAGCAATGAGTCAGATTACTTGTTGGTGACTGAATGGCTCCTTAGCAGTTAAATATGGCAATTTCTAACAACCTTGCTCGCTTTATAGAGTAATTGGTCCAAGATATCCTGAATTGAACTTCTTTCTCACATTTGACTCTTTACAAATGTGCAAGTCACTTGGTGATAAATGAATTCAAAACTACAGGACCCTGTCTGTCAAAAAATGTGCCACTTTAGTCACGTGTAACCAGATCTTTTTAAGCAAACCTGGCCCTTGCTGTGGCGAAGAGAGTACTCAAATGGACAAATTTAATTGAGCACTCCAGTTTCACTCACAGTGTGCATCAGTTCATTCAAGTCATTCGATTTGCCCTTTGTACATGCAGCTGGAAATGCATGCTGTGACATATAATAAAAGCTTTTTTTGTACAGGTAGCAGATTTGCACATTGTCTCAGTTTTGCATTACTGTCAATAGATAGACAATGACTTGATATCAAAACACAGCACTTGAGTTAGTGAGCAAGGCATTGTTTTTGGAGGTATGCACAGTAAAATAGTGACAGAACAGGGATGAGCTGAAAAACTAAACATTTTTCTTTAAACAAGGCAATTATCACATTTATATGATTTAGTAGCACATGCTTTGGGGTTTTGGCAGGAAGAATACTCAGAGGACTTCCATGCAGCAACACATTTCTATTTTGTATCTTCTGCTTCTATAAATGAGTTAATCGTGATAATTGCATCAAATAATGTTTCCTTGTCATTCTAGACAAGTTACATGATGCCTTTTTGAGCATCTTTAAAGCACACGGTGCTTTAAAGAATAATGCCATGTTGCTTCAATAAACTTATCTTATTTTTTCAGAAAAAGAGATCCATATTTAAAAGAAGAGTAATTCACACACAGTATTTTGAGTCCAGTCCCACCTGCTGCTCTTTTCACTCCTCACTGCACCAAACCTGCTGCATCTCTGAGTCTTTTGACATGTTTTATCATAACCGACACAACAGCATTGCTTGTTTTAGCTAATGAATGACTGCAATAATGATGATGGTCCAACTTTCCTGTGGTGACATGTTTTCCTCCGCTTGGTTCCGCAACGGTAGCCCATCACTTCAAACTGTGAAGCGGTCCAGCTGAACATGGTGCCAAATGTACTGCTGCGTGCCAGTTTACTCCAATATTAGAAAGTGTGACACTTGTTTCATGAGCTCTTTTCTCTCTCTCGTCATTCTGTTAATGTTAATTAAAGGCTTAAATCTTGAGTGTGACTGATGTAGATCAAGTGTATTTTTCCTTTTCCACCTTTTCTTTCCCCCTTTTTTTAAAAACCACTATAGAGTTTCTGAGAGATTGAACCAATATAAATAATACTAATAATAATAATGAATGGCTATTTGGGATTTAGCAATGACTGTACCACCATGTGGCCATTTATTAACCACGTTCTAAGCTTTTTGAGTTAAGACGCCACAAAAAAAAAATTCTTAAAGCACACGCATGAGCTTAAGTAGTATTGCTAAAGTCAGACGAGGCACCCTATTAGTTTTAAGTAAATTATATGTTGCACAGCAGTATTTGGAAGATCTGTTTCATTTCACTTTTTCTTTCTTTATGTAGTGCCAATTCAAAACATTTCCCTCAAGGTACATTAAATGACAAAGTAAAGACCCTACAATACTAAAGAAAGCTGTACAATCAAACGATCCCCTATGAGGATCACTTGATGACAGTAGAAAGGAAAAACTCCCTTTTATCAGGAAGAGATCTCGAACAGCACCAAGAGTCACGAAGAGTCAGACATCTGCAGCCACTGGTTGGCGGGTGATGGGAAAGAGAAGTGAGCCTTGTTAATGACACACCGTTTATAAATACAGATATAATGACTATGATTATGATTATTACTAGCGGTGATGTAATAGCACTGATAGCTGTATATGGTGTAACTATGTATAGGAACAGATGGATAAAAATAACTGTATCTATAAATGCACTATTATGGATGAGTAATGATAAACAAATGATGAGTTAAGCACATACTAATGCTTAATAGTGTGTGGCATTATTTTATAGTGCTACCCCTTCACTCTCGTCAGTAATTGTTTCATTAACGTCTCTGTAACTGTAGCAAGATGATTAAGATTTCCTAATAAAGTGACCAGGTAGTGTATTTTACTTTTATGAAATCATATAGGGCACTTATTACTTTTTCTATCAGTTAATTTGAGCATTTTTCCTGGAAAAACAATAAACAGCTTGTTGATAAAATGTCAGAAAAGTGCTGGGAACAGAGTTGTTTTGGTTCTGTATAATTAAGGGTGCAAAACTGAACTGTGCTCGGTTTCTGTCGTACAAAGTGGCCAATTATGGCATTAGAGTACTGTTGTTCCTTAAACAATTACCAGATTTTTTTTTAAAACAGCTGTTAATAGTTTGTCTTGAACATGTACAGTATATTTACCCATCATTTATGCACGTGCCTGCATCAGCCTTGTTTCCTGTGTCTGCGAACAATCCCCATGAGTAAAAAAAAAAAAAGACAACAGGATGAAAAACACTCATAGCCTCTTGATCAATTTGATTTTTAATGATGAAATAATGATTAAAGCAGATTCTGATTTCAAAATGAGAGAGCTGTAAATGTGGTAGATCCTTCCTTTCTGTCAATCCAGGGTCCAAAAATCCTGCCTTTGTACAGAGAAAGTCTGTGGCTTGCCCCATGGGAGGCTGTGGTAAACAAGTGGAAAATAACAGGCTCCTGTCTGGTGTTTGCCAGCCTCTAATGTCTCTGTCCAGTCATCTAGAAGAAAAACAACATGCAGCAGGTTTCTACTGTACAGGGACGGTGACAGGGACAGGAGCAGAGACAGCCAGTACTGATAGAGGATGGGGGGGAGGAAACCTCTCTCTTTGTCTGGTTTCCTTCTACAGGTCAATGCATCTCGCATGTGAATGCACACCTGACATATTTTTACTTGGCTTCTCTTTTTCTTCCCAGTTTTCTCTTCCTTTATTTGCAACAATTTTGCCTTGTTATGCTTTTTAATCTACATCCTTTAGATGTGCATAAGATCTGCTTTCTTAATTATTCCTTCACCTGCAGGATGCATTTGAAGTGCTGGCAGAGAGCCATGAATTCAATGACATGGAGGGTCCGTGCTTGGCCTTCAGGAGGGCTGCATCTGTGCTGAAGAGTCTGCCCTGGACGGTGCAGAATTTACGGGTCACAGAAGACCTGCCCTGCCTGGGGGAACACTCTATGTATGTCATAGAGGTAAGGCCCAGTTTCACTTAATCCACAGCAGTCCAGTTAATAACCAATGCATTTTCCCTCTGTATTTTGGTTCTGGTGTCATGTGTCACTTAAAAACGAAATATAATGAAATGTCTAATGCCCTGAAAACTGAAACTGTTGCCCTCATTTTATCGTCTGGGTTGGATTTTCTGACAACACGTCTTTTGAATGCAACGTCGCAAAATCAAAGCTTTCAGATTAGGTGTGCAAACCATAACTCACGCAACTTCCCGGACCCTATTTATGCAGTTGTGCAATGATCTAAAATAATTTGCTGCCATGAAGATACAGTTTAGTATTTTGGAAACACGCTTGGAAGACGTCGGCGATGATTCGAAACACGCAGCATGTGATTTATGAGCTAAAGCACTCGAAATATTATTAATATTTATGCTTATGTGATATGAAGTGACAGAATTAACTAACACCAGCGTAAAATATTGACACTGATTGATCCTTTGCACTAGCAAATAAGGGATCAATAAAGCCATTTGTTTAAAACACCTAATTGAGTAGCGCATGTTGGCAACGGCCTCAAATGATTTCACTTCAAATACGATACGTTTTCACAACTATTACTACTCGTATTTTTTGCTCCTCTGCAAAGGAAGGCAAGAAAAAACCCAAGAATTTACTGCAGTGAACAAGACCGTGACCAACCCTCTGCGTGGCCAATAGACTGTTTACATATTGACAATATCCCCACGGACCTGTGTGTGGGGGATTGACAGTAGTTAGGCTCTAAGCCTTTGAACTGTATAACACACGTGATCACTAAGTCCTTGTGAATGTGAAGCGACATCAGCTCACTGATGATGAGGACGAAAGCGTCGGCATTTCTTTTCCCTAATTGCAAACTTTCCAGGTTGAGTAGTTTGCCATAAATTCAATACATGGACGTGTTTTGGGGTTTGACATTACATTACTGTAAAATTAATGTTTTACCAAATGTCACCTCTGTAAACACCAGGCTCTGAAATAAATCAAAATAAAATAAAGTAAGATGCAGCACATAACGGGGAGGGGGTGTAATTTCAGTGCCGATTGATGAGGACCCGTTCGATAAATCACTATCTTTATTAATGTGCTGCTGGAAATAGTTTCCAACGAATGAACTTCTCCAGCTTCATTAGATTAAAATTCACATTAAGAAAAAAAGACACACCACATCAAGAGATGGACAAATACAAAACCTGGCAAAAGCCACTCCTCATTACCTCCGCCGAGGAGGTTATATTTTTGGTTGTGTACGTGCATGTCATTCTGTCTGTAAACACGATAGCTTGAAAAGTTTGGAATGAATTCAGGTCAAACGTTGTAGTGGTGTGTAGTGGTGTCATGTTTACAATCTATTAAATCTGGCTATGCCCACCAAGGTCTTCAAAGTCAACTTAATGGTTTAGTGGTTTGAAATGGACAAAAAGCCTTATAACTATGATTCTTGCAGTGTGGTGTGTATTGTCAACATGTAGAAAGTACTATATAAATATAAAAGATTTAATATCACTATGACTTGACCTCTCCTTCAAGGTCAATAGATTGAATTGAAGGTCAAAGTGATAATATTGCTATATAGAGCTATTTAAAACTGTGATCTCCAAACCTACAGTCTGAAATGCAAAGAAAATCTAATTTGAATTCCTCCATAAGACCTGTTGCCAACAATTGCCATTCCACTGCATGTGTGATGTCACATCCCTCAGCCTTTTCAGCCTGTTTCCCTTCCTCAAGATCACCATTTCTGGTGAGGCTTCAGTGAACAGTAGCTGGATCAGCTGAAGGGCCAGTTGGATCTCACAGGTCCTGTATCAGGTCTTTTCTGTTCATCTGCTGTAGTTTGTTTGTCAGACCTACACCTTATCGTCTACCCTCTGCTTGTCCATTCTCCTCAGTTTTCTTTTTCTTAATGTCCACATTTCTTATTGTGGACATTAAGAAATGAGGGATGGCTCAAGACTTTTGCACAGCACTGTGTATTATTTCAGAAGGTTTTATTCCCTTTTTGTACGTATGTAGTGAGATCAGATGATCTGGTGGGGGATTCTTTGTGAGCAAAGTATCCCGACCCACCGTCTGTCCGAACCATTTGCTTGCGAGGGGCAGAAATCAGAAAAAAGTTAACTTAAAGGCTGATGAAAGGAAGTTAAAATGTCTGTTGAGAGGCTGCACCAAGGCACAGCATAGGTTTAATAAGGACTGTGAATCATGCAAAGCGTCTGCGGTGGAGTTCAAGAGCAAAATATGGAGTTAAAAATGAATATAATAGGCCCACTTTAAATAAGGAGGCATTGATGTGACAGAAGTAGTTTAAACAGGCTGGCTCTATTGTATATGATGCATTCCATTACTTAGAAATAGTTTTTTTTCCCTCTGTGCTAGCAAGAAGAATGTAGCTGAATCAGTAACCATCTGCACACATAAGCCTTTCTGGAGGAGATTCTCAATGCTGAGTTCAGTCTCTAAGAAATATATGAAAGAAAGACGTACAGATGTATGAATAAAAACTTTGCTGCACACATGCAGCACACGTTGATGGGTATCAGACAAATATATTTTGTCTCTGAGACAAAAAAAAAAGTCTTATTGGGTCACTACATCTCCACATCTACACTCGAGCTCAGGGCAGGAATCATGGCAGGTTGTCAGGGAAAGTGCGGATGCTCGCTCTGAGAGAACGCCAGGTCCCTGTAGGATAACAAGGTGAGCTCAGCAACCCGGCTCTCTCTGACACGTTAAACCTAACATACACGCTGCGCGACTCACAGCGCGTTTCCGAATCTGTCAAAGCTGTCAGCGCCGAGTCAGATTCATTAAACAAAATAGCATAAATGTCCCGGGGAGACCAAATTAGACTGCCTGTAAGTGACCTCTCCTTCTTGTTCTCCTTGCACAATTCAGACGCACGCCTTTCGCGGGGGTTGTCTCTTTGAACAGTTTGCTGCTCAAAACACCAAAAATGACATGACACAAAAAACAAAGTGAAACCAAACAGAGTGAAAACAAAATGCTTGATGTGCCTGTGAACATCGGAGCGACACTCTGTCAGCAGCGACTGAACTGCTCACTGCTGACTGAACATCCAAAGTGGGGAAAATATATAAACCTACTGACATGAAAGTCTGGGAGCACTGAGGCAGAGTTGGGGGATGAATAGTCAGTATATGTGTTTGCTGTATGTGTGTGTGTGTGTTTGTGTGAGAGCGGGAGAGGAGCCGTGCATGTAAAGAAGTGTGTCTTTCCCGGAGCGGGGAGTATGTTGAAGCATTATCCGTGCGTTTTGAGGTTGGCCTTAGCTGGGGGCTTGAAAAGCAGAGGTGGACGGGTGGATGCATCACTGAGCAGTGAAGGCTGCTTCAAACTGCATTGTACTCACAGTGTGGATGTTAGGTTCACTGGCTCACCGATACAGGCTGTCATCCATTCATGCACAAGCTCAAAATGCACACGGATACTTATCCCAGAGCAAAAGCATGCAGGCTCATTTCCCCCTGGCCGATATTAACCAGATAGCTGCTACCTGATTCTTCGCATAATGAAGACAGTTAAAATGTGACCAGCAAAATTGGCGGCACTCTCACTGAGAGACGCAGGCAATTAAATGCAGAACAAAGCGGTTTTGGAGCAAACAACAGAATCTGGGGGAAAACATTACCTTGGGGTTTTTTATGATTGCCATAAAACAGGTATTAATCCCAGGTTTCGCAACAACAAAGCCATTATTTGTCGAAAGGAAAAGAAATGGAAATAAGGACGCCTGATATAAGTGGATGGTTTCTCAAATAAGCAGCGATTTGGGGCCCATTTGTTAATAGCCGGCTGGGGGGGAACCCAGGGGAAAACACGCCGATGCTGACACAGACATTGCTTTCCTTGATGATAATATCATCCGCCTTTGTGTTTTGCAGGAGATCCTTCAACACGGCCACTCGTTTGAAGTCGAGAAAATACTCTCGGATGAAAGGTATCAAATACTAAAGGTCAGTGGATGAATAACAACTCAGTCGATGGCTCGCTTTCTCCATTCTGGAGCTTTTAACTCGCTGTGAAAATGATGCGCTCTGTTGCTCCCTCTTAAGGACTCGGAGCTCTTGGAAACTTTGAATGCTTACCTCTTCTCAGAAGAACCTGTCATTTCAGAGCATGTCTCCTTGATTACATACTTACCTCGTTTCCTGCCAGCTGTTCACAAGTGTGTTTGGGGTTGGACCTAAGACAGCTGAGAAGTGGTACCGCAGAGGGCTGCGCTCATTCAGCGACGTTCTGGCGGAGCCCGGCATTCGTCTCAACCGGATGCAACAAAGTGGTACATCAACATCTCACCATCCTCGCTCCGCCACTTTACAAATTATAGAGGAAAAATTTCAAGTCGAGCTCGCTTCCAAGAGAGACTCAAAGGCCTAATTGTTAAATCCCTGCGGGGGGTGGGGCTGCATGTCGTTTGGGACTTTATTTGTGCCTTTTTTTTGTTTACTCCCAAAGGATGTGAGCCTCTAGCGGTAATGTGTTTTCTCTAAAGTGAGATATGATCAGCAGGGAGTTTACTGTAAAAAAAACCACAACAGGAGAGTTTTTCTTACAAAAAAAAACCAACCTAAATCAATAAGTAGTGACTCTGAAGGGGAGGCATGGTGCAGACGTCTCACCACTCTGTCGCGCCAGAGCGGGCCATCGAATTAAGTTGGTGCTAAGATTTTTTCAACAATTTACAGCCCACGGCCACAAGAGTGGCTCTGTGAGGCTAAAAGAAAAGCAAACTGGCCAAAAGCTGAAAATTTATTTTTCATTTGTGGTAGTTATTAGTTGTTTTTGAGCCATTCTACAAAGATGCTTTTTCTGAAGGTGAGATATTTCATGCATTTATGCACAGAGGATGATTCTGAATGCGAGGACGCCCTGCTTTTGTTCGTAGCTCCAACAGCAGCTCAGATTCTTTACTTCTCCTGTGAAATACTTCATGGATTGACGCTTCGTCTTGTCTTGGTTTTCATAAAGCGCAGATGATGTGTTCTAAACAGTTTAACTTCACCTCCAGCAACTGTCGCCAGGCCAGTATTTGTGGTATACGACAGCATAAATTTTAGCATATACCCCCACCTCCCCTCAATATTTATTCTGTCCACTGGTTTGGCTCGTTTGGCTTTTGAGTGAAATTACAACCGAGAGCATGTCACACATTATTGAGATGAACAACTCTTTTATGCCACTTAAAAATCAGCAAGCACGCAGCTGGGAGACACCGCTCCATCCTGCTGCTCACTTTGCAATTTACAACAACGTTTTTTTACGGCGCACAGATGTGTGTTGTTGTGAGGATTTGCCGTGCTCTTCACACGATGAGGCCTCTCATTTATGATGAAAAAAACAGATAAAGCATCCAGGTTTTCCATGAAGGAGATAACATACACTTATTTGACCTCTAGTACTAGTAAGAGCTGTGAAATGAGCAAATTATTAGATGCTTCTGGTATTAGCGATCACACGAGGTCCCCTGGTAATTAAATATCTTGTGAATCTCCATCTTTGTGTTAGAAAGCTAGCATTTGCTAATTAACATACAGAGCGCAGGTTTGTGTGGCCTTAGATGTTTTTCAGTTCAGGTGGAGCGCTCTGTTCTCGTGTGCTTCTACGACATGCCGTGACATGAACTCGGAGCCTCCGTGCAAATTTTCCGTGAGCCGTTGTCATTAATCTCAAATTCATTGTTTATTTTTGTCGGAGGAGTTTCTGACTACGAAACGCAGATTTGATGGATGCTTCATTCACAAGTGGGAGCTGAGGTCGGCCGAGGCTGATGAGAACGTCATTAATTTCCGCGGTCATAAACCGAAGTGCTCGGCGTAAAGTTTAAAATGATGACCTGATGAAAATCGAGGGCCTGCATCAAATATAACAATCCACAGAGATGAAACCCACAAATGTGAACCTGTTTGTGGTGCTAAAGGAAAAAGTTTGCTTAGGCTTCATGCTTAAGAAACCATAAACAGACAGAATTAAAGGTGTTTGGAGTGCCTCTCTAAAAAATATAAAAGAAACAGATGTGATCAAATGTGAAAGGAATACGTGAGTGAGAAATATGAAGAAATATACCAAGACAGAAGCAGCCAGACATGCAGATAGCATCAGCTTTCGATAGTGACATATACCCCACAGTGCTCTCACATATGAAAAACAAAATACTGATATTCAGCTTTTCATTCGTCTGCATCATTTCTCTGCTTCTTCTGCTGCTTGGAGTGTAGCTGGATGGTAATTCAAAACACTGTACTGCATCGCTCGCAGGTTTCCATTCACTTTCAAACTCCGTCCCATAATGTATTGCGCTGACAGACACCTTCATCAAACTGGTCGTAATCGATCACTTGGAACACTGCGGTGTCGACTCCGTGCGGAGAAATACCGTGTGAGTTTTTGACGTGGAAAATTTGTCTGAACCCTGAACCCTCCATCGTGCTCGACGAGTCTTGAAAAAGAGCAGAAACACGAATAACCCCATTTAATTTACTTCATTAGAAGCAGAAATATCATTAAAGGTTTTCTAATTAATTGTTGGGGGAAGCTCCATTCTTCGGTGGGGGACAAAAAAAGAAATGGATAATTAATGCTTTTCATGTAGCACAAAGACAGAGGAACATACAAATCAATGAGATACCGATTGATCCACGAATTATAATTTTTGCACCGTTTCTGCGCTCGCTGCAGTCGTTTTGTGTCTGCAGCGGTCGAACACCGGCGGCCGTCTTCTATCAGCCAGGAGAACACATCCCATTTTTACCTTACCTTTAATTCACTCTGACTCTCCAGTTCCCCGGAGCAAATGGCTATGATTGATGGCTGGCTTCCAGACTAATAACCACGTGGTCTTTTTCCCTGCAGGTTTTCTGCATTATGGAGACATCTCCAGGGCTGTCAGTAAAGCAGAGGCCCAAGCCCTGGGGAACATTATTGACGAAGCTGTCCGTGCGATCACACCGGACGCCATACTCACACTGACAGGTGGCTTTCGCAGGTACAAGACTTGTCTCCTCCTTTCAGTGTTGATATTTGAAGATGAAACACAACGGCACCTTCAGTCTTTCCTCGCCCCTCCCCATCCCCCATTATTGTTCTGTTCATATTATACACAGGGAAAGCAAAGACATTAGCAAAGCCTCAAGAGGTCTGCTTGATTCCCAGGTGGATCTTATTACTGTTATTATTATTATTATCTGATATCAGAGCATAGAAGTCACAGAGTGAGTGTCTGGGTAGAAGCGTCAGAGCCGCTGGTGTCTAATTGCATCTTGCAGTTTTCGAGAGTTCTTAGACAAAACGGATTAATTTGATATTTACCACCGCAGAATATTCCCCATCTGACGCCTTTGTTCTTGACAGTAAAACAGAACGCCAGATAGCACGGGTTACTAACGTTTTGCATTTACATTAAGATGCTAAAGTGCATTACATTTGTCAGTCTCAGAGTGCACAGTGAGTGCGCTTGTAAAGCTACCTGCTGAGTGCCACTGTTCGCTCGCAGCCGGTGCCTCCCTCCATTGGCACGTCTTTGTGGTGCTGTTTCATTTATTTATTTATTTGTTTATTTTGTTATGCGCAGTGCTTTGTGGCTCAGTAAGTGTGGAGCACTCCGCTCTGTGGTGTTGTAAAAATCCAGCCGTAACCAGTGGCGTGTGAGGTAAATAATTCAAAAGCAGTCTGGCAGTAAGGATGGGCGCTTGCCTCTCTACAGGGGTAACAGAGCTGCCGCGGCTTTGCTGATGGTCTTTAATAGTGTCTGGACTGCAAACATCACATGTTACTGGAGTTATTCCTGCTCCCTTAAAACCTTATTAAAGTTTTCCTTTTCTGCATTTGCTGTATTCTGTTTGTCAGAGTTTGGTAGAAAATTACTATACGCTAACTTTTATAACGGGGAAAAAAAGTCACTTTAGCTACAGGACCGGTATCGTGGCATTATCTCACATTTGTCAGGTGTAGCCAAAGGCTTTGCAAATTCAACACACTTTGTAATATACAACACCGATTTACATGCTGATCCTTACAGCATACTAGCTTGGCAGCAAATGTGCATGAAATCAGAGTACTTCACTATTTTATACTAGGAGGAAATATTTGCAGCACCAGATGCCGACTGCAACTCCAGAATGACACAATTGTCTAAACAAAGAGACAGCATGGTGCTTTTCCTGAAATCTGTTTCTTACCTCAAGCCGTTTAAACCACGTCCACTGTTCATTTTGATTTCTCTTGCTGTGAGCATTTTCTTTGCGCATTGCAAAAAAAAAAATTGTAAATCAACAGCCAAACCCTAAAATCATTTTGTAGGCCATACACATGTCCCTTCATGGATTTTTAGACCAGTGTTGAGACTGTAAATGAAATCTATTTTATTTGCAGTTCTTGTAGACCAATCAGAGGTTGATACAAAGTAACCTTTAACACTCAAACTAGCAGACAAGGACGCCTTTATCAAAGAAATACCTGCTGCCTACACGAATCACACGAGTGTTTTATTAAAAATCACCTGTGAAAAATATGATATATACACTCAGTGGGCACTTTATTAGGGATGGCTTAACTTAATTTTATTAAGGAAATGGTATTATTTCTCTGCTCAAAACATACATTACATAAAAAAACAAAACTATCCAAATGTACCTAGCCCTCTGATTACCCCCCCCTGTTAAATTCTGAATTAATTGTGATTGACAACATTTCTTTTGGGAAAAACTGAGTCCAATTTCACTACCCAAACCCAGGCCTGATTACTGCCAGAACTGTTGAATCAAGAAATTACCTAAGTAGAAACTGTCCGACAAAGTGAAGTAGATTAAAAGATTAAAAACAAACAAACAAAAAACCATCATGCCACTAAAGAAACAACATCACTGACATCTATCAGTCTGTAAAGGGTTACGAAGCTATTTCTCAGGCTTTGGGACTCCAGTGAACCACGATGTAAGCCTCACAAATGGAGAAAACTTGCAACAGTGGTGAACCTTCCCAGGAGTGTTGGGCTGACTAAAATTATTCCAAGAATCAGGAAGTCACAAAAGAACCCAGAACAACATCTAATGCACTGCAGACATCTCTTGCTTCAGTTAAAGCCATTGTTTATGATTCAACAAAAAGAAAGACGCTGGGTAAAATGGCATGCATGGGACATTTCCAAAGCAAAATCTTTTGGGAAAAAATTCTGTGGACTGACAAACCAAATACCTTTTGGACGTTCTGGAAGTTTTGAGTCCCTTTACATCTGGCACAAAACCAACACATCATTTCATAAAAAGAACATCATACCAGCCGTGGTTGTAGTGTGTTTTCCTGCTTTAGGACAACTTGCTGTAATTGCTGGAGCCATAACTTCTGCTCTCTACCAGTTCATGCCCTGAAGCTCAAGCGCACTTGGGTTATGGAGCAGGACAATAATCCAAAACACACCAAAAGATGAAGGTTTTGGAGTGGCCTTGTCAAAGTCTGTACTTAAATCAGACTGATTTTTGGCATGATCTTAAACCTTCCAGGGTGGAAGAATTAAAACAATTCTGAAAAGAATAGTAGACCAAAATTCCTCCACACTGATGTGAAAGACTCATCCCCAGTTATCAAAAACACTTGATTGCCCAGGATCTTGCAACCAGGTGTCGGGTCTAGTGAGCAGCTGCTTTTTCACACAGGGCCAGGTAAGTTTGGATAACTTTTTATTTAAACAAATGAAACCATCATTTAAAAACTGCTTTTTGTGTTCACTCGGGTTATCTTTGTCTAATATTAAATTTCGATTGATGATCTGAAGCATGTAAATGTGGCAAATATGTAAAAAACAAGAACAACCTAAGAAATCAGGAGGGGTGGGCAAATGTGTAAATGGGAAAGATTCACAAATTTCCTAAATAAGGATGTTGTGAAAATCCACAAGGAAAAAAAAAACGCTCCAATCTTCAAATTGTTAAATGACAGCTGGAATGATGTCTGATTATGTAAATAACTGCTCAGAGGGGAAATGTGGTAAGAGAGTCGAGGAAGGTGATTAGAGCATCATGGATAGTTAACTTCAAGAATGAGGGAGAGGAGCAGCTCAAGATTTATGGGCCAGGAGTCTGCTGCAAAGTGTAAAGGGGCCTGCAAGAGCGCCTTTATGGCTTCAAATTCGGGGAAATGAAACACACATTTACTTCACCCCATATTTGGTGCAGACTTTGGAGAGAGAGAGAGAGCAAGATAGACCTAATTGGAATCATGCGGCGCTATAATTGAAGAACGATAACTTGTGCATTATCAGGAAGCAAGTAAGTAATTTACCTTTATCTTGTTGAAAGGCTGATTCTCCAGACATGGTTTAAACACAGTGGGAGGCAGTATGAGGTCTATTACACCAAAATAGTTCATATGCTTTCTAAGATGCCAGCAGTACCACTAATAATCCACTTACTCGTTTCACGGTGACATATTTGAAAATGTTCCCTTCTAAAGTCCTGTCAAAGCTCGATTTAATTACCTATAATTTTGAGCCTGGTGTAGAGTCTCTTATTAGCTTCATCTTTCTAGCCGATACCCCTTGTCAAAAATGGAAATGTGCATATCCTATATACCTCCTTAAATAGCTGCACCCGGCTCTGGCAAATCTTTCATCTCGGCAGAAGATGCACAAAAAGATACCACGACTCCCAAAAGTTTTACAAAATAACTCGTGTGCTGGAATAAACTCAGGCTGTCATCCACTTCAGAGAGAAACAGCGTGGCGAGGATTTGTTGATGCCACTGACATTAGCCTTATTGAAAGGACAGCTGTGGAAGGCGGGTGACAAGTCTTAAAGCGGTTTTGTTGGAGGGGAGGATTAAAAATAGATTACACTTGAAAATACAGCTTCTTCCACAACTGCATGTGAAGGCTCACGCAGTGTCAGCGGAACACTGTGTTTATTTCAGTATGAGGCAGGCAAGTCCCTACTGAGGGACATCAAATTGTCTGGAATATGACTCAAAGTGACACTGATGAGGGGGGGGGGGGGGGGGGGGGGGCATTGGTGTCTCCTCTCAAATCCGCAAACAGCCGCCGAGTCCCACCGCACAGTTTGCCTTGAACAACAGCTGAGATAAGTATTCCTTATCGGCTTAGTTCGGGGTGTCGTGATTCTAAAACAAACCTCATTATCAGCTTGCAGGGGAGGAAAGAGCAAAACAAGCCATCTGGTCATGAAGAATAGGCCACACTTAGCTGCTTTTTCCTGTTCTCATTTCATATCTTCCTGATTATCGCCTCGCACTGCTGTGTTAGCAAGAAATGTGGATGGGAAGGCTGATAGAAGGGGAAAATGATGCATAGTCACAAACAAAGCCTGGTTGCTTTTTTGTGACCTAAGTTTTGCAGAGCTTAGCCTGCAGACGCCCGTAGCCTAACACTTCGCAGATCTGTATTATTCATGCGTGTCGTCATGTCGTCCACACAAAACTGTAAATAACCATGTGTATTTCATTGTCTTTGTGCAGTAACACTTAATAATTTAGCATTTTCCCTCACGCGATAAAAGACTAGATGGCCTAAATTCAAACCAGGTGTTTATCGACGTGCAGCTGTGCCCGAACGCCTATCAATTCTTCTGTTTTTACCCACATCTTCACATCCATCCATCCCACTGAGCAGGAGTAGGTGTCCAATGCTAAACAGGAACAGAGCTCTGAAGTTGCACTGCTAAAGGCAGAGACGAAGAAGAAGAAGGAGAACCCCTGGTATGCTGGAAGAATGTGCACGACATGCTGTCATCCGCCTTTCCGCTGACTGCTGCTGAATTATCTGCACTGACCTGACACATACTGATGCTCAAATGGGAGGGAGCTGAAAAGCGTAAATGCCGCTTCCCCTAAAATAACCTTCCCATGTTATCCCCTAACACACACACACATACACACACAGACACGGAAAACCACTATTTGACAAGATTAGGTCGTTCTTAAGCTCTGATAGGAGGTAAACCCAATTTATGCTGATGATCTCTCTCTGTCTCCTTCCCGCTTTGGTTTCTTTGCTATTCTCGGCACACATTTATGCAGTGCACTCAAGTGGGTTTTGCCGGCGCAGCAGAGGCTAACAGCGAGACTCACTTAACAACTTAAGCGCACTGTACGAGCTGGAAGTGTTGTGGAATCTCAGCTTTGCCAATTAAAGCTGAGTGTTGGGAGATTTCATAGGCAAAAGTTGCTCAGTCAGCAGATGGAAATCTGTGATGCATTCTCAAGTAGCGCTGTCCTAACAGTCAACTCATTAAAGAAGTGCCAACTCTTCACATCGAGGCCTATATATGTGTATGTATATACTGCAAAGTCTAAACACAAGTGTTAAAATGAATTCACTTAACAGCTTTTGATATTTAATACAAAATAAAACAGGCTCACAAGGCAAATTGAATAAGTGTTACCAAAGACGCAGCTGCAGAGTGAACCTGTAAACCAGGTGCTCGATTCTGTAAATGCCACAGGGGTACACGCTGTCTACTGCTAATGCTAACCATTAACATTATCATGCCTTCTGCAGCTCTAATGGCTGTTTTCTATTACTTCCTTGCTCCCTGAATTAGCCACAGTGACCTTTGAAGCGTTCCCGCAAGCCATTCACAGCCTCTGCACCTTTCTTCACTCTCGCTGCTGTCAAGCAGCAGCAAAGAGAGATCAAACACCGAGCCTCGTGCCTGCAGAGGCTTCTTTAGAGCTGTATCGCCCCCAACATTCATTGTCACTTTGCTTTGTTGTTTGCTGTGACACTGGTGCTTACGTATGTAGGATTTTTCGCTCGTTGTTTTTTCAAAAGCTTTTGTGTGTGCGTGTGTAGGTGTGTGTGAGTGGGTGTTGGGCAATGATTAGGGTGAAATAATGCAAGGCCTTCTGGCAGGTAGTGCCAGAGCTAAACTTGACGACGGTCGGGGGTATCTTCTGTTATTTGAGGGCACAACTTTAGCCCTGGTTTGTTTCTGTGTATTTGTGTCTACACACACAAGCTACTATAATCGCCAGAAACTCACAGTTTCTTTTCATCATTCTGTCTGACTGCTGTTTTTGAGTTATCCTGCAGCCTGTGACAGGATGCACTGTGTGAAAGGAAGGAAAACCCCTTGGACAGGTGGGCCAGTCCATCGCAGGGCGTACATTCAAACCCATTTGCAGTCATATTTACACTTCAGAGCAGCTCATCGTTTGTCTTGAAGGCTTAATTTTATTATCGTCTGGCTTGAATGCCAATGAGCACGCCAAAGTACTCTCAGAGCATCATTACTGGTAGATACACATACGTCATTGAGAATTTTAAAGGAAACCTCAAAGCAGTGAATATGCTTCTGTGAATATGATTGTAAGCACAGATGCTGCTCGTGGTGTAAGGCACACGTGGGTGTGTCCAACTGCTTTTGTGATTGTGTTGACTGGAAGCGCCTCTGAAACCCTGGCACAGCACAGACTGATCTTAACTGGCTGGAGGATGATAAATATATTGCTCGTAGGAGGAATGCATTATCAGCAGGTGGAACTGGAGTGGACCTCAGCCACAGCCACTAAATTGATCTCCTCTCAAGAGCTTCAAAGCACAGATATAAACCTCCTTTCAAGGACAGTCGTAAATTCCCATCAGTTTATGTTTTGAAAGTTAAATAATAATGGATATATATGATTAAATATTACTAAATTGATATGATGAAACCCAGTTCGAGTGGGTCACAAGCTAGCGTATATTGCTCATGCTGGTCCCGAGCCCGGATAAATGGGAGGGTTATGTCAGGAAAGGCATCTGGTGTAAAATCTGTGCCAAATCAAATGTGCAGATCTGTTCGCTGTTGCGACCCCCTGGGAAATAACGGGGCAGTCCAAAGTGCCTTCTATTAAACGGATATGATAACAATATATCAGTATTATAATGTGCATGACTGCATATGTACATTGTAAATGTAATATAACTGTAATAAGATAGCATACTCAATGCAGAAATATAGTACATAAACCAGACCGCCACATCATAAAAAACACTTACAGGTGAATAACATTGATCATCCAATTATGATGCACAGTTCTGCCGGGAAGCTATGGCTCCTGGCTTTCACTCTGATATTACTTTGACACCTATCACCTACTCATATACTAATGCAGACCAGCACTCCCCATATACATTGTGAAAAGGCTGTTAGACAGATAGAACATGTATATATAACAAAACAAAATACCCAATATATAGTACTGTCTTATATATATATATATAAGTAACGAAAATTTTATGTTCTGAAAGAAGCAGAAACAGGCATAAACTTATATAATCCCACGTCTTCTTTCTGTCTGATGAATGGCAGCAATATACCTCCTACTTTTGTACACGCACTTCTTTTATCCTGTCGATTTATGTAACTAATAATACATAAGCTCTATGTGTGTTAAACTGTAGGCCTGCCGTGTGTATCAAATCAGTTTCACTCATAATGACAATTTTTTGAAAATGTTTTTTAGCTTCAAGTATGAAAATCGGACAGTGGGTGGTCCTCAAACAGAAAACAGGCAACCGGGTTTTAGAAAGCAAAAATCAGCCAAAAAAAAGAGGGAGATGCTAATTTCTGAAGACATTAAAACTGAAATAATTCTTGAACCGAAACTTTCTTCAGCATATCTGTGGTCACCGTATGGCTTTGATAACCAAAGATATGAATTTAGTGGTTCCTAGTAATAGCCTGTTCAATAAGTTGAGACAGTTTCCTGGAGATTAGGCAGGTGATCAGAGTAACAAATGCTCTCTGATCTCTATGTCTCTGATAAGTGGGAAAATAATAAAGCCCCCTGGAAATGCCACAAGGTTGCCGTGGAAAGATGATTCCCTTCACAGGCCGGTGTCCTGTATGGCAGTTTTTTGCTAGCCAAAATTAAATTGGATTTTAATATTACAGTGAGTTATTGCTAACAAAAATCAATCAAACAAACAAAAATTAAATTATAATATAGAGATGGGAAAAATGCCAGAACTCAAGGCTTAGTCAAAGGGGAACGGTGCCACCACTGTGACAACACCCTTTGGTTAGTCTCATTGTGAAACCTCACAAAGCTTGTTTGCGGTTGATAATGCACACTTACAGTCTACTGACGTGTCAGTCGCATAGTGAAGCACACCCTGCTTAATTCTGCTTTTTGCCTCAATCCTGTTATATTTAGTAAGAATTGAAACGAGCAACTGAGACTGTAGACTCATAGTTCACAGGAGCAGGTTTCCAATACGGCTGGACTCAACCAGCAGTTCTCACTGACGTCACCCCCTGCTGGCCATTACAAAAAGGGAAAACTAGTCTATAGCTGGGAGTTAGAAAACTATATGGGACTGTATGTCTGTGAAGGTTCTCAGTCATCCAGGTCATTGTAGTCTAAGGAGCTTGGAAAGAAAAGCATCTGGACTTCTTTAAGTTGCTTGAAGATGTTTCACCTCTCATCCAAGAAGCTTCTTCAGTTCTAGGGTCAAATGGTGGAGAGTTCCAGATTTAAGTCCTATGAGAGTGACCCCCAAGAGGGACATGGACCTCAGGAAATCACATGATAGGTTGGGGCTAGGTTTCACAGTGAGTTCACTCGAAACCTTGGCTGATTGTGACCTACACCCGTTTTCACACCTTGGCTCGTGTGATTAGATGGAGGATCAATAGGGGGTCCGTGTCCCTTTTGTTGGACACTCCCTTAGGGCTTAAATCTGGGACTCAACATCATTTGACCTTAGAACTGAAGAAGCTTCTCAGATGAGATGTGAAATGTCTTCAAGTAACTTAAAGAAGTCCAGATGCTTTTCTTTCCAAGCACCTTAGACTATATGGACTGTAATTTCCAAAGAATATCTACACGTTGCATTCGCACCATCAAGCCCGGGTTTAGTACTAACTCCGAACCATGTGTATTCTGAAGAAGCCAACAACTAAATCGAAATAAAAACAGTTGCTCAAAGTGTACACAAACTGACCAGTGACGCCAGCACCCCAGTGTTTGCTTGGGTCCACATGTTTAAATTTGGTCACTCAGTCAGCCTGACAGTCCTTACTGTTTGATCAGGCTTCCCTAGTGTGGTTGGGTGTGACAGATTTACGCATAGTGCAACACGCTTATTTGACATTCAAAAGATTTTGATAAACAAATGTTGTGACGCTCACTTCTGTAGCAGGACGGTTTCCTCTGAGCGGGGATAAATTTCAGTAAGTCTACAATAGATTTCTGCATATTTCTCGCGTTTCCTCTGATTAGTCTGAATAACTCGCTGCTGTGCCGTGACTTAAAAGGATAGGCTTCTAATAAAAACGCTGCAGAGAAGTGTATGATAATTTACTTTTCAAGCGACAGAAAAGTAGGGTAGGAAAAAAAAAACTACATTTGCTCCTCCTGATTAAATAATGGGGATGCTTTTGCTTTTCTTGCTTCTCTGCTCAAGTGCCTATGGATCCAGTGAGCCAGACAGAAGCTTTGATATGCCTTTTGTGCACATATCTTCTGCCCATACAGCGGTTCCGTCCAGAGCTTTTTCTTCTGCCAGATAATCACTTGATAATCACTCAGTACTGCAACATCTCTTATGTGCAGTTGTGCTGACAGAGTAAATGCATTGTGCAAGCCTATTCAGGGTCCATATGGGTCCGCTTTATGACACCGATCCAAGTAGAAAATGATGATTCTCATGAAAGTTAAAGCTCTGACAGCTGAGGCAACAAAAAGGGTTTTTACACTTAGCTACTGAAGGGAAAAAATTACTTGTTTGAATAATGAAAAAAAAGAGACAGTGCCATTAGCTTGGCTTGTTCTTTTAATAGCACCGTCTGCCACCCTCCCTCTTCATCAGTTAAATGCTATGACTAAAAGGTAATTCATTTCATTATTTCCAGGATATAGTGAGTGGGTAACTGTGCTATGTCTTTGTTTCCAGGGGGAAGGATTTTGGCCACGATGTAGACTTTATCGTGACCACACCACAACTGGGGAAGGAGGAGCGTCTTCTCACCAGCGTTATTGATAGACTAAAACAGCAAGTAAGTATGTTGTTTAGGTCTTTCTTAAAGCATAGTATTAGTATCCTGAATGAACACACTATAGGCTAAAGTAAATACAAAGATCCAATATTCTTGAGAGGAACAATAGACTAAACAAAGCAATGCTAATATTTTTTTTGAAACCTGTGTTTGTGGAGTGCCTGTGTGTTACATTTTTAATAAGCGGGAGTTCAGAGCAACGTTTGAACACTGCTTTGCATTTGATGTTAAATCACTGAGACTGGTTTAGGTGTCCATCTGTGTTTCTATATCCTGCATTCATAAACAATCCCTTTTTAATTAAACCCATCTTACATCCTGGGCCATGGTGGCACAGCAAGCTCGCACCACTGCACTGTGATGAGGCACATGCAAATACAGAAAACATCTTTATTGACTGCACAACGCAAGGTTGGCTTTGAGGGGGGAAAATGAGCAAATGCAAAAATTCCCAAGGAAATACATGAAGGTGCGAGCGGTAGTTCAGACTACAAGGCAAGTGTTTCCAGAGCAGCACCAAAACAGTGATAGACACAGCTGAGACAAGTGCTTGTTGTTGCTGCGTGCTGAGTAATAGAGATACTGAAGCCAGCTATCTGTCGGCGGTGTGGGAAATGTGAGAATGTGGAAGGCTTTTGTTTGTTTTAACATTCTGGTGGCGTGATTCATACGTCATTGCAGACATCTGTAATTATGCTTATATTAAGTCTTAACCTAGATTGCTGAGATTATTCATAGCTCAGTTCAGGTTCTGCAGTCATGTGATTTCTAACCACATGTTATCTTGTCTGCCATGATGGAAGCGTGATGCTGTAAGGTCAAAAGAATAAGGAGCTACCCAGGCCTACAGGCTGGTCTGCAACCATCTGGCAACCACTGGTCTTGAGGGAAAAACATTTATCCCCCGTTGGTAAATTGTTGTTGGAGTTTGATGGCAGTTGCTGTGAAATCAGTTGCTAAAGCCTGAGTCATGCAGGCCTAGAGACCAATCAGTGACCTCCTGGCAACCATTAGCTGGCTAGGAAAAATGTGTATTTCCCAAGCAGTTGTCGAAAACTTCCTTGCAATTGCTATGGTTGCTAGGAGAGCTCAAACACTTGGAAACTACTCATTCAAAGTAAAAGGTTTAGTTTTACTTTGAAGGTGAATGTTGTCTGTTTTCTGTGGCTGTATCACTTCCACTACGCTGGACAACTCTTAAGCAATGCACATATGACATCATGTGAAAAATGTCTTAAGACAAAGTCATCAGTAATAACCTGCGTTGGTATCCAAGTTACTGCATCTGAATCCCTGCTCAGGACTGACTGCTGTCATATGTTGATGCACATTTGACATCATTTTTCAGTGCGCACGGTAAAAGAACAGTACATCAGCCACCTGTTTTCCCAGCCCTAACCGATTTGTTTCAGTGATGAAATGGAACCATGTAGTTACCAAGATGTCTAGCCAAATAGCAACAAAACTAAACATCAAAGGATATCTTGCAAATCTAAAATCAGTGGATTTTATGAAACAGCAGCATCTGATGCTTTTGCAGTGAGGATGGATTGTGTCCTCCATGTTGCAATTTTTAAAACATATCTGTAAGTTTTTAAAGTTTTTAATAGTCAGGTAGTAGATGAATTATCAAAATCTGGTTTAATAAACCATATGTTTGTGGTTGATAAACCCAATGACATCACATATTGTGGGTTCTGTTTCATGCTTACATTTGTGTATCTCATCAGACTGTTTTAACTGGCAGGCCATAGCAGGCAAAGTGCTGAAAAACTCAACATGTTCGCTCATTCTCTAACACCACGTGAACATCCATCCATCCTTCTGAACATATTCAGGAATTTTTGTGCTGCTTTGGAAATAGATTTGAATTGTAATCTCTGGGTTTTGCAGCCGGTTGTATTATTTGTGTTTTGCCTATAGCATGGTTTCTCCTAATCGGTATGATGAACCCCTCAAGGCTATAACAGTGCTGAAAAAGAAGTACAGAAAAACCCCCCAAAGAGCTGTGCTTAGGGTGCACACAAACATCAGTGCACCAAACAATGCAACCATGTTCAACATAACCACAGTTGTAACCATGGAGAATAACAGTAAGAGTAACAAACAAGCTTCTCATAAGATCATATTAAGCCCACTGTTATACTGCAGCTCAATACATTGCTAAATTAAAAAAGGATGCACCACAAAATCTAGGTTGAGAATAAAATATGTTTCTTACACACCAATTTGCACATTCCTAAAATTCTGGCAACAAACCAAATTTTTGTTTATTACACTGTCCCTTAATCTTTTCAAATTTATTTATTTATTTTGTGACATAAAACATTTCAGTCTTCAGTTAAATGATGAGTAGCAGAGGGTTTGACTTTTGACCTAGGGGTGGAGCAATCTTTTTAGGTGCCAAAACTACATGTGACAGAGTGCCATCTACTGCTGAGAAGAATATCATTTTTATGCATGTTTGAATTGAAACAGAAATATATTTAAAAATTGTGCATGTTCAAAAACATCTGAAGAAGTATTTTATGTTGTTTATAGACAGATTCTGATTTAATGTATTTACTACTTAGTTTGTTGCCTGGGATGTGTAAGCAAATCATGCACTGGAAAAGCATGCAGAAAGTTGCAGGAAGTGAGGACGAGGACATTTTATGGGAGGAAAGAATTTGATTGAACAGTTAAGGTCATAAGGTCACTGCCTTGGTGAGGACAGCGAGTATGAAAGGATCCCAGAATCAGGTCTGAGGAACACTTTTTTAAAGATAACTTTAACTGAGATTATGGGTCAGTTAAAGGCTATACATATGTGATGTGTGTGGGGAAGCAATAGTATTCATGTTCATGTGTGTGTGGGAATCGGTAGTTTGGAGCAGACTTTATGAAGGTACCAGGATGCAATACTACTCCAAATGACAGATATGTGACATCCACCTCTGATTCATAAAGTTCCATACAGACTAGTTAGATACATTCAGACACATAGAAACACATACAATCACACATACAAACCTATATGTAATGCATGGTATGGCAGATAACACAGACACACAAACAGCAACACACACAGCTATTTGTGATTTATTACTTGGGAGTGGTTGTGGCTCACCTCCTTGACCAAAACCACACCCAACTAATTCATAAAATTCATACAAATCAGCTGCTGATTAAGTATCCTTGTAGCAAGATACTGAACCCAAGTTGCTCCCAGCGTGTTCAGGAGAGTCTGGACGTTAGATAGAAAGTACCTAGATGTAGAAAAGGTGCTTGTATGAATATGTATGATTTAATGGAATATCTTCAAATATGGGTAAAAAAGGGCTAATTCTTAGCACCCATTTGAACATTTTCCCCTGACTTTATTCCTATGCTTGTGTGACCTACATCAATTTTGTTTGATTGGGATCTGATGGTTGTGGAGGAGTCCAGTGAACTCATTTCCATTTTTAATAAACTAGTTTGAGAGGAAATGAGCTTTCTGACCAGGGACCATTGTACCTTCATTCACTACTGCTCATAGATGACAGTAGTGGTCCTGGTTCCTTCTGCTGCTTTAACCCAACTGCTGCAAGGTTTGATTTGTTGTGCATGCAGAGATGCTCTTCTGCATAAGTGGGAATAATGAGTTACTGCTAGTTACTTGAGTTACTGTTTCCTAACTATCACCTTAGGTGTCTGGCCATTTCTCTCTGACCTCTGGCATCAACAAAGGATTTTCACCCAGAGAAATCCTGCTTGTTGGATAGGTTCCCTATTTCAGACCATTCTCTGTAAATCCTAGAGATGAAAAATCAAGGTAGATCAGCAGTTTGTAAAATAGACCATCCCATCTAACCCTATCCCTATTGTGGGCAGTGTGAACTGTTCCCTAGATCTTTCACTCATAGGGGTTTTTGAATCACTCTTTGTCTGGTCCCTCACCCAGGACCAATTTGCCAAGTGAGACCGTACTAGTGGGCAAAAGCCTCCCGACAACATAGCTCCTGTGGACCCCTCCACCACCATAAGTCAAGTCACAGAGGGGACATATGCATATTCTGGTACATAATATATATATATAACTGTTGCACTATATGTTGAAAAACCTCCTGAAACCAAAAGCCAGTCTTTCACTCGCGGTCGCTGTAAGATACTGAAGTTTTCAGCATGATTCAAAACTAAATCACTTAAAGGAATTGGTCAATTTTTCATGATTCAGAGCTGTGTCCTTGGAAACACAGCTCCCTTTTTTTGTGAAAATTAGAGAGAAAGAAGTTATTTAGTTGCCTGCAATGAAAAGAGATTTGGAAGGTGTGAGTGATTCTAGGAACAAAAAAGTACAATTTAGCAGTTACATTAAGAACTTCTTTTAGGGCTTTCAAGGACCATGGTCAGCACTGGATGCCCCATGGTGGAAAATGGAGCCTTTAATGGAAAATGGGCAAAAAAAATGAGAAGTGGCTGAGAGGGGAGAAGAAAAAGAGAGACAGAGAAACAGACAGTGACTGTGAGCAGAGTGAGGAAATATACGAACAGGAGATAAAACAGAGAGACACAATGTTAATGTCGGATTATGTTTACATAAACACAGTGATTTAATTACTGACTGTACTCAAATGACAACAATTATTTGCTGCTAATATCATGGTAATGTGACAAATATCAGTGGGTTCCAGAAGTGCTCTACTTCAACTTGTTGCATAAAAGACATTTGCAATTACATGAAACTGGGGTGTTAAGCACAACAATTGAAACAAATATCCAGGGTGTTTAAATTATAGATAGACGTATGCAGTATTACACCTACCTCCTCTAGTTTTGAAGTTTTTATTCTGTGCATGGGAGGAGGAAATCAATGAAGTAGGCCAGGTTTATTCACCGTCTACTAGTTCATTCAGTTATGGAACTGCTCAACAGATTGGATATATAGTTAGATAACTCTGAGAAACAGGAATAAAATTCAAATGTGATGGAAAACTTTTTTTTTTTCATCCATGAATAATGTCCTTGTGATTCGTGAT